AAAAAGATCATGTGACACTGAAGACTGAAGGAATGATGCTGAAAATACAGCTTTGATCTCAGAAATAAATTACAGTTTAATGTATATTAAAATAGAAAAACGTTATTTTACATCATAATAATATTTCACAATTTTACTGTTTTTTCTGTATTTTTGATCAAATAAATGCAGCCTCGATGAACAGAAGAGACTTCTGTAAAAACATTAAAAATAGCTCTGATCCCAAACTTTTGACCTGTAGTGTATATATATAAAATGCCCATTGTACTCATTTCTATTCTGAACTTAGAGGTTTTTTTATTCATGTGTATATTATTATTTTTTTATTATTATTTTGTTTTGCATAGTTAGAGGCTTCAAGAGGCTTTTTTCTCCAAATATTGAAACCTTTCTGATTATAAAACCCTTTGTTCCTTAAGATTCCCAGATTGTGCTGCTCTTCAGAAGATATTTTAGATCAACACAAACCTGAAACACATTTATCATCACTCATATCTCCGTTATGAACCAAAGTGGACATTCGCGGTCACAAACTATGGCATTTATTTATTTCAAAGGCTTTTCTGCTTACATTTGTACAATAAATTACACACGGTCCATCTTCTGATGCGCTTAATAAATATGATAGAACTTCCTGTTAAGCTTTGACAATCTCTCTCTCTCGCTCGTCTTCACAAACGTCTCCGGACATTTTTGTAAAGATCCATAAAACTTTACAGTTCATGTACAGACTGGAAAATACACACATTATAAAAAGAAAAGAAAACGTAGTACAAGCACAGTTGAACGGAAATACAAAAGTATGAAAAACTGAATCAAAACTAACTTCTATGCAAGAACGAAACACAAAAGAACGGATAAGAAAATGAACATGCTTCTACCTTCCGGATGCACACAGTTAAAACTGTACAGAAGCGTACATGGTATTAACAGTGCAAGATATTAAATAGCTCGACTCAAAACACGCTTCTCAATATACAAATGTATAACAAAGGCATACAACTACACACAAGTGCCAAACGCTACAGACCTTCAGGTTATGATACAAGAGGGAGTCTATACAAAGAAAACTCTGGAGCTCTTCGGTACATACGAGGCATGTGTCAGACCGCGCAGGATGAATCCACCGAGCTTTAGAGATGAGAGCCTGGCGTTTTCAAAGTAAAGAGAGCCACATGAAAGATGTTCACTGGTTCTCATAGCTTCTCTTGGTTTTATGGCAACAATTCACCCCAAAACGAGCGTGTCACTCCAAACCATTCTGTGAGCTCTTCTAAAATCGTGACGGATACGGAAGCTTGTTTCTGCCATTGAATAAAACAATAAAAATGGTCACACAGAATTATGAGATTAAAGCTCACAATTATGTTTTTTAATTTCTTGCAATTGTGAGTTTGCATCTAGCAAGTGTTTTGTCTCGCAGTTTTGTCTTTTTCCTCAGAATCGAGTTTGCAACTTGCAATTCAGCCGTTTTTCTTAGAATTCTGAGTTTAAATTTCGCAATTCTGACATTTCTTAGAATTCTAAATTAACATCTCACAATTTTGACATTTTTCCTTAGGAATTTTGAGTCGACATCTCGCATTTCTGACCTAATTTTCTCATTATTACATTACGCAATTTTGACATTTTGTCCTTGTAAGTCTGTTTACATTTCACAATTCTGATGTATTTTTCTCTGAATTCTAAAACAACATCTCACAATTCTGACTTTTTCCCTCAAAATTCTCAGTTTACATCTTGCAATTCCGCCGTGTTTTGTCTCGCAGTTTTGTCTTCTTCCTGAAAATCGAGTTTGCAACTTGCAATTCAGCCGTTTTTCTTAGAATTCAGAGTTAAATTGTGCAATTTTGACATTTCTTAGAATTCTAAATTTACATCTCACAATTTTGACTTCACATGGAATTCTGAGTTTACATCTCGCAGTTTTGCGGGGGGGTTTTTTCCTCAAAATTTTGAGTTTACATCTGGCAATTTTGACTTTATTCTCAGATTTATTGGTTTACATTGCGCAATTCTGGCATTTTTTCCCCTCAGAATCCTTAATTTACATCTCACAATTTTGACATTTTCCCTTGGAATTCTGAGTCTACATCTCGCATTTCTGACCTAATTTTCTCATTATTACATTACGCAATTTTGACATTTTTTCCTTGCAAGTCTGTGTTTACATCTCACAATCCTGACGTATTTTTCTCTGAATTCTAAAACGACATCTCACAATTCTGACTTTATTTCCCCAGAATTCTCAGTTTACATCTTGCAATTTTGACTTTTTGGGGGGAATTGTAAGTTTACACACACACACACAAACTCAGAATTGTGAGGAAAAAAAAAATGTTTTATCCCGTGGTGGAAACAAGCTTCTTGTTCAAGCTGTTCTCAGATTTGTAAGAACAACTATTACGTTGTTTTTGGAGATTGACCGTTCTGGTCACCATGTTATGATGTTGAAGGGAAAACAAACATCATCTTGTGTGTTTGACAGGAAAATATCATCAAATGGTTTTGGAACAACATGAATGCGTTTTCATTTTTAGGTGAACTACTGCTTTAACCCACAGTCCACCCGTCACTGCTGGCACCAGCCACCAAACCAGCCGACCGTTTCCCACGGTGCCAATGAAGAGCTTCATTACTCCACATCCTACACTTACGGCTTCGGAAAAAGAGGTGGGAAATGGAAATAAGGAAGACATAAACACACAAAGGCTACGTACAGAACAGACCGGCATCTGCCGTTGCACACGATCACAGATGAATCTGCCATTGCACTTCTGAATACTGCCACATTAACCATTAAAACCCCACAGGGTCTGGATAGATTTCAGTAGTAAAATACATTTAGAATCCTGGCTGCCAGAAAAAGTCATCAATTCTCAAATTGCCAACAATCATAATACATGTCACCTCCAGAGATACTGAACGCAAACTGATCAATATATCTTTCATAAGGCTTTCTGAAATCATAAAAAAAAAAAATTTGGAAAAAATTGGGGTTTAACTTTCAAAAGGCGTGATCTGAACCAAAACATGTCCAAGTCAAATTTAACCCTAAAACTAAATGTAAAACTTGATCTTGCATACTGAAAGCTATTAGACTTTTATCCAATAGTGAAATGTATTTAAATATAATTACTTATTAAATAAACAATTCTCATTACTCTCAATGGTGATTCTCATTACTGTAACATGGTATTTTTAATGAAATACTTAACAAATAATTATATACAAAACATTTCACAATGAAACCAATTTTAGGGCCATTGAGATTTTCATTTTGAAATTATTTATATATAATAATCAAAGGCGATTCTTGTTACTGTAACAGTGTTTTTGAAAACTGCATATTTTATGAATTATATATAAAAAATGGCAATGTAAAAGAACGGCACAATGAAACTCATTTTAAAAGCCATTAAGATTTATTTTCTTTGTGAAATTATTTATATACAATTATTTATTAAATATACAATTCTAATTATTCCCAATGTTTTTGTAAAATTACTTTATTTTATTACTACTATTAATTTATTTTATTACCTTACGTATATTTTAATTATATATTGAATAAGTATATATAAAACATTTCATAATTTAACAAATGAAACCTATTTTTAGGATCATTAAGATTTTGTGTTTTTTTTTTATTGTGAAAGTTATAATTATTTATTAAATGTATAATTATTATTGTCAGTGGTGATTTTCATTAATACAGTATTTTTAAAAATCATACATTTAACAAATTATATATAAAAATGTTGAAACCTGTTGAATCATTTCCATTCTCAGTGATTATCATAAATCGCATTACTGTAATACAGTATTTGTATTCCATATTATATATATAGAAATCACAATGTGAAATGCATTCATTGTGAAATAATTTACATATAATTATCTATTAAATGAAAAATTCTCATTCTCAATGGTGATTCTTATTACTGTAATACAGTAATAAAAAAAAATAATAATTACAATATATATAAAAAAATAAAAATCATAATTAAAAAATGCAGTAATTACTAAAAAAAAAAATTACTATAAAATTAATTACTGTTATGGCTTTGTTTTCTTGGAGCAAAAAAAATTACATATATATATATATTTATTTTTTTTCTTTCTTTTAATTTTAGTGTGAAATATGACCTGGACAGACTCTTGATCCCTGTCATGATTTAAAAGAACACCAGACATTCTCTTTAATGAGAGTTTGGGCTCTACGTTATGAAACACACAGCTACCCCTCGATTACAGGTTTCCCAGCATTCCTCACGAGTGCCTGAACCGTAAGGCACTGCAGCGCCGACTGACCGTCAGTGAATTCCCATGTTTCTAAACTCCGCCGCCTCTCAAACGGCTCCGGCCCGGGACTGACTGTACACCGGTGGATCTGAGGGTGAAGTACAGTGTTCAGCCACTGCAGATGAAGACAGGATCAAATATTCATAACGGTCCAAAAAAAAAATGAAGGGGTTGGTTTGTAAAAACGAACGAACAAATGGCGCTTTTCCACTGCGTGGTACGACTCGGCTCGGCACGGTTTGCGTTTCCACTGCAGTTCAGTACCGCTTTAGAGTGGGCGGGATTATTCACATGTCGTTTATAGTTGCGCCGCCTCTACTGCCACGACCCATCGCCCCATCAAGCTCTCGCTGGATCCGCTCCTCTGCTATCAACGAGAGGAACGTCTGTACTTCCTCAACAGACAACAAAACAGCCACTTTTTGGTTGTTAAAAAAGTCCACTCATTCAAAACAGTTGTGTTCGATCCTTCGCTGGCTGTGCTGATTTAAATCTAGCGGTTCTGTTGTGTTTGTGTCGCAAGTTCAGTGACGCAGGTAGTGACGATTCTCTCCGGCCAATCCGTGATCAGCAGAGCTTACACGTCACGTTTTGGTAACGGTATGGTTCACTTGGAACCTCAATCGAGGTGGTACTAAAAAAAGTACCAGGTACTGTACCCAGTGGAAAACCATCCAAAAGTGAGCCGTACCGTGCAGTGGAAAAGTCTTTGTCCTGCTGTCAAACCCGACCCACCAGAAAAAAAGTGCACTTGAGTGCAATTAGCTTGCCAAGGAAACAGTTGTCGTTATAAAATAGTGCTTGTTGCTGTCTGGTGGCTATGGTTTCGTCACGTTTGCACCCCGTCGCTGTGTCGGTCAGTGTCTTTGGGGTGCTGGTTAAGTGCTCTGTGCTGCTCGCCGGCGTCCCGCTGCTGTCACCTGCACTCCACGGACACCCCCGAGGTCTGTGACGCGCCGGACACCGTGGGATCCGCCAGCGTCAGCATGACAGCCGCTGTCAGAGAGCTGGAGGACGGCGAGGACGAGGACGAGGACGAAGCCGCCGCCGCACCTGCCGGGACACAAGAGGGTTCTGGGAACGTCATTAAGTAATCATCAGTGGTGAGAACGTCTTTTTAAAGCTAGCTGTTCAAACTAGTCTCATACCTGCAGACTCCAGAGCAGCGTTGTTTTAGTATCTCTGAGACACTATTATAGTTTTTTTTTAATTTTAGGAATTTTGTTGTGTTTTTCTCATTTTTTTGTTTTTGGAAATTGGAATTGGAAACTAGCTGAAATAAAGGTTTTTACATTTTATTTCAGTTAACATTTATTTTAAAGGGGTAGTTCACCCAAAAATGAAAATTAGCCCATGATTTACTCGCCCTTTCAGACGAATCCAATCGGAAAATGACAGAAGTACATAACTAACTGAAATAAGTTCAACAAAAATGACTAAAGCTAAAACTTAAAGAAAAATGAAAGCTAAACAAAACACAAAAGTAAAACTAATAAAATGGCAAAAACACATAAAATGACTAAAACTTAAAAATGATATATGTTGCCTTGGCAACTAACTGAAATAAGTTGAAGTACTAAAATTGCTAAAGAAAACCGAGAAAACAAACAAACACAGACCTGAAATAGAAATAAACGCAAGCTAAATAGAAATAAAAAATAAAATAAAATAGACACTCAAAATATATAAATAGAAGTTAATTCAAAACGCTGATAAATACTATAATAGCACATAAATAATACTATAATAAGACTGCCCACACTCACTCTCTCTCTCTTTCTTCTTCATGCGCTTGCGTCTCCTGTCGATGGAGGCCACCTCTGATTTGAGCAGGAGGTAGTGATTCCTGATGTCCTGCAGTTTCTCCTGAAGGAACGCTATCCGCTCTAGACTGCTCATCTTTTCCAGGTCCGCTGCACGGACAGGAGCAACAGGCAATCAATGCCACACATTCAGTTCTTATTAAAAAGACAAGCAGCTGAGAATCTGCGGCACTCACACGTCTGGAAGCTCCACTTGGTCCGGTCGTGGGAGTGATCCGGGTCAGCGTGTTTGTGGTACTTGTGGCCTGAGGGGGGCATCCGGCCGGAGCACTTGTGCGGGATGGCTGACTTCAGCTCGCTGCTGCTCTTGGATGTGGGGGACTTGGCAGTGCTCTCGCTCATACACTGGTCCTCACTGTCACTGCTGTGGGCTGCAGCGCCACCCAGAGGAGAGAAGAGGCAAACACTGATCAACACTAACACAAAACCTCTTAGCTGAAAGCTTGCATGGTGCATTAAACATTTTACATTTGCCTTTATAATCACATACATTCTATTACATAATAATAATAAAAACAATTATGCCCGAGTTTGATTTAAATAAGTCTTCAGTTTTAGTATCTGTGAAAGCAAAGCACTTACGCAGGGTTTCCCAAACTGGGGTTTGTGCTAATAATAATTCATAATTAAAGTTAAGAAGTAATTAATTAATAATTAAACTAATAATTTTACATTGCATGTTGACCTTAAATAGTTTTAATAATTTTATTAAAACGTAATAATAATTAATAAACTAATGATAACATTTTAAATAATACATTTAATATTTTATAATAATTAAATTATAATAATTTATTAACATTTTATAAATAAAACCCATTTAGAAATAAAAAATAGGTCAAATATTTTATTTTATTTGTTAAATTATTAAAATAATAAATTAAAATATTAGGTGCTACTTAAAGTAAATATTTTAGGTCAAACTCAAAGGACTTCCTTCAGTTTTCAGAAACCAGACTTTCTGCCAATGCAGTGAAAGTGGGAAAAACTGCAGATTATATTATTATTGTATAAAAAAAAAAAAATCATATCAATTAGGGCTGCACGATCTTTGAAAAGAAAAAAATGTAACCCTGCAATTTAAAATTAGGTTTTTTTTTGTTTGTTTGTTTTTTTCAGGCTTGCTGCGTTTATTTGTAGGCTATATAATAATAATAATAACAATAATAAATAATTGCTACTACTACTGAATAAAAACATACAAATTAGAAAATAGGAATTATTATTCATATTTTATTATTAATTTTATTAAAATAGGAAATATTATAGTAGTATTTCACTGCATAATTAAGAAAATAAAACTATTTAGAAAAACAAAATGACATTACAACTACAAAATTAAGTTTTTCTCAACTTCTCAAATTTTTAAACATTACACCATCAAACTTTTATTTTGACAGAAAACCACAGGGAGCCCTAAAACCTTCTCTGTTGATAAGCGCTTCTTCATTACACGTACGGGAAGATGGTTGGAGCATGTTGCGTTCTCAAATCATCATGCAACCCTAATTACAATAATCTAACCATCAAACAGTGTGAGAGAGAAGTGTGCTGAGAGTTCACATTCATGTTCAGATACAATGTGAACGCAAAGAGAACTAGACTCTTACTTCACAAAGTTTATATCTGGGTCAACTGAAAGTGGATTGAGAGGACTTAAAGGTCACATTTTACACCTTTCTGGAGTTTTATTTTAAGTCTTGATGTCATATAGTGTGTGACGTCACGTGCACTACCGCCGGTGACACGGCGACCATCACAGCCGTTTCCTGTCATCCAGACTGAACAGCGTTTTCTCTACACGTTTCTGTGTTGTTGTTGCTCAGCAATGGCATGGGCACGATGTTGTCTGAGGGTTTGGCAAAAGGAGAGTGGGACGGTGGGCGGTGCTCGGGGTGGAGACTGAAGGTGGTGACTGTGTAGTTCTGACGTCACCTTTTTACGGAAGTCACAACGGTTCGTGAAAAATCACAGCTACTTTATGCAGGCTGTGTGCTTAGTCTGTAAACCTCTGAACGGCTGAAGAAGAACAAAATGTAGACTTTGGAGTGGCCTAGTCAAAGTCCTGACCTGAATCCTATTGAGATGCTGTGGCATGACCTTAAAAAGGCGGTTCATGAACATGCAAAAAAAAATAAGAAATCAGGACACACCACTGTATATCATGCTATAAATAAACTAAACATTTTGAATTTTTACCTCAGTATGTTTGTTCTGTGAGTTTCTTTGTGTGTGCCGTACGCTCATTTGATTTGATTTCTCCATGAAAGTCTCTCACAGAGACAGGCAGCACGAGCCTCAACAGCGCGACATTGATAATAGAAATACACTATCAATTATCAATCGCTGTTTAAGCTGAATGTAGTAAAATCAGAAGAATAATTTGCGCGTTTTGATGCGTGATTATATTTTGTCTCTTAAGTTTTAATCAGGCTATTAGTCCTGTCGGGCAAGTACAATTCTCAAGCCATTTTCAGTAAACTTGCATGAACCATTTAAAGTAGTTCGGAGGCTGGACAGCGAGCTGGTGTTCGACTGTATTCTGTAACCGCAATTTTCTCTGATGACGCGGTAACTACAGCGGGGGGGAAAAGTACTCTTGATGGACACTCACTGGGTCTGTTAGACTGGAGAAATTTTTGTGGTAATGTGACCAAAAATATTTAAGACCTACTGAATCTGAATTCAAGATATTAAGACATTTTAAGGCCTTATTTTAGGAAAACTAAGACATTTTAAGACTTTTTAAGGACCCACGACCACCCTGAACACACACTGGTCCAGCTAACCAATCACAACACACACCGGCCCAGTTAACCAATCACAACACACACCGGCCCAGCTAACCAATCACAACACATTTTGTATTTCAGAAGGCGGGCCTTCATTTGATACAGGAACTATTCGAGCTGTTCATGCCAGACTGGGGAGAGAGGTGTTGTAATAATGTAAAATATGTGAAAAATAATGTGTTTTTCGAACAACCTAGTATGAGAACCTGTTCTAGTACACCCCCAAAACAAATTCAAGACTTTGTAAAAGAGCATAATAGGACCCCTTTAAATAATTTAAGAATTAATTGGACATTTTAATATGTTTTAAAATAAATAAAAATAAAACAAATTAGAAATAATTTAATAGCATTTATATATATATATATATATATATATATATACACATATACACACTCTTCTTCTCGCTCACTTTCGTCTGTGGAGCTTTCAGAGCCTGTGGGAAACAGAAGGATGGGCCTCAGACACGAGCTCTGCTGCAGTGCTCAATTAGACAATTGTAACAGGTTTCCCACTAATGTTAATTTCATTAACGAAACCTATGACGAAAAATGACAGTCAACAAAGTTTTTTTCTCCTTACGAAAACGAGACGATAATAAGGTCATTACACGATAACCGAGACTAAATGAACATGCAATATCGTTGACGAAAAAAGACAAGACTAAAATGCAGTTAAAAGCGCAAAAACTTTATCAAAACCTTTTTATTTTTATTGAAAAAAGTGGAGCCAGACTGCTGTAGAAGACTCTATTACGCAAGCGTTCATGTTTGCGGTTGCCAGATATCAAGAGCTCAAATCCCCCAATCAGAGCTTTTCTGTAAATGGATACAGATCTGAAAACACCGACATACAGTACTGTATGAGTAAGCTGGAGCTCAGCGATCTCCGTTTGAGGCGTCCTGCTTAAATGAAAGTGTCATTCAGTCAGTCTGCATTCGGTCATGGATCTCGACTGTATTGTTTGCTGATTGTAACGTTACTTACACAACCTCTGTACGGCAATAAGTCTGTTTTTGCCATTATTTTAAAAGAGAAACATTAATGCGATTTGGAATTACTATTAGGAATTTCTCTGTCATAATATCTGAGAGTAGGTTTTTGTTACACCAGTTTTCATAACGTAGACAGTGCGAGTGTATATCTGAAGTCTTCGGTGTTTATTTAGCTTCTAATTGATATCCTGATATTCTATTGATTTGTGCGTAATGGTGTAAGAGCAACTTCTGATGAAATGTAAAAATAAATTTGCCAAAACGACAGCAATCATTGCATTTAAAATTGAGCAAAATAATAATTTTTAGCATTTTAACCATTATACAGTAAGACGAAAATATGATGAAAATGTTTCCACTGACTAAAACTAGACTAAAATGCTCAGACATTTAGTCGACTAAAACTTGAATAAAACTAAAACAGGACAAGTTGACTAAATATGATAAAAACTAAAAGTTACATTTAACTCAGGACTACAACTAAGACTAAATTCAAAAGATTAACACTATTTCACACACCTTTTGATCGATGAATTTTCATGCAGTTTTATTTTAGTATCATTGATATGATATATTATTACTTGATATTATTACTATTATAGTTTTTGTTAATATTTTTAATTAGATTGCATATCAGGGCTCGACAATAAGGGCTGTCCGACAGCTGTCTTTGCGCTTGAACGGACGAATACATACAAAAGTATGTAAAAATCCCCGTCTGTGTGAGTAACTTTGTAGCTTTAACAATAATTAATCTATATTTCATATATACAGTGGAGTAGAGATGCACCGTTCGACCGGCTATTTTTAGTTTTATTTCAACCCATTCTTGTTCCGGATTTGCACACAAACTCACAATTATTTTCCAAAATGTCATCTGTGTGGAAATATTACGAAGTCTGTAAACGGCTGTTAATAAAGGCCAGAGACGCTGAAGACGGACGCAAAGAGGAGAAAATCCTGTAGCAGACAGAGCAAGATCACTGTTCAGAATGAGCGAAATATTGGAAGAAAATCCTAAATACTGAATATTGAGGAGAACTGAACGTTTTCAGAAATATTTAGATGGCGTTTTCTTTTCATCTCGTCTTTGTATGATGCATTTAAAGTAGCATTAATAGGCGCTGCTTTGTTTACAGCGGTAACCAAGGAAACGCTGTATCGCTGCTGTTCCATGAGCGCCACCTGCTGTCAGAGAGTGAATCTGCATCTCATTCTGCTGTTTTTCCTTATAAAGCAACATTTAATTTGTATCTTTGTTCTATATATTCAGTTGTGCTATTGCTTGTAATCTGTTCATTTATTATTTACTGACTGTTGTCTTGTCTTTAATAATGTTTGAACTTTATATTTGTTAGGCTAGTAGTATTTGCTGTGGTACTGAAATTAGAATTGAGAATTGTAAGATTTAATTGGTATATAAAAATTTGGTGTCATATAAGCTTATTTATTAGAATAAAAGATGGCATGGGTCAAAAACAATGATAACAGCAACTATTAAATTTTTTTTGTGGCAGGACCAGCCACAAAATATGAACTAAAGAAGTAAAGTAAAAATATGAACCACTGGCCCAATCATATATATATACAGTATCTCACAAAAGTGAGTACACCCCTCACTTTTCAGCAACCATTTTAGTATATCTTCTCAAGGGACAATACTATAGAAATTAAACTTGGATATATTTTAGAGTAGTCAATGTGCTGCTTGTATAGCAGTACAGATTTACTGTCCTCTGAAAATAACTCAACATACAGCCATTATTGTCAAAATAGCTGGCAACAAAAGTGAGTACACCCTAAGTGATAACAGCTGTATGTCGTTTAACCATGCAAAGCCACATGTCCTATTCATCATGTTCATGTTTTTGTCTGCTTGACAGGACCATACAAATTTGTGTATCTTGTATTAGAGCAGTTAAAATTTGGTGCTTTGAGTACAATTCTCTCATACTGACCACTGGATGTTCAACATGGCACCTCATGGCAAAGAACTCTCTGAGGATTTGAGAATTAGAATGGTTGCTCTCCACAAAGATGGCCTAGGCTATATCTGTAACACCCTTAAAATGAGTTGCAGTACAGTGGCCAGCGTCATACAGAGTTTTCTAAGACGAGTTCCACTCAGAACAGGCCTCGCAAGGGTCGATCAAAGAAGTTGAGTCCTCGTGCTGTGCGTCAGGTACAGAAGCTGGCTTCAAAAAACAGACGCATGAGTGCTGCCAGCATTGCTTTAGAGGTTGCAGAAGCGGGAGGTCAGCTTGTTAGTGCTCAAACCATACGTCGCATACTGCAACAAGTCGGTTTGCATGGCCCACCATGTCCTGTGGTCTGATGAGACTAAGATAAACTTGTTTGGCTCAGATGGTATCCAGCATGTGTGGCGACGCCCTGGTGAGGAGTACCAAGGAAATTGTGTCTTGCCTACAGTCAAGCATGGTGGTGGTAGCATCATGGTCTGGGGCTGCATGAGTGCTGCTGGTACTGGGGAGCTGCGGTTCATTGAGGTAAACATGGATTCCAGCATGTACTGTGACATTCTGAAGCAGAACATGATGCCCTCCCTTCACAAACTGGGCCGAATGGCAGTTTTCCAACATAACGACCCCAAACACACCGCCAAGATGACAACTGCCTTGCTGAGAAAGCTGAAGGTGATGGAGTGGCCAAGTATGTCTCCAGACTTGAACCCTATTGAGCACCTGTGGGGCATCCTCAAGCGGAAGGTGGAGAAGCGCCATGTGTCTAACATCCAGCAGCTCCGTGATGTCATTATGGAGGAGTGGAAGAGGATCCCAGCAACAACCTGTGAAGCTCTGGTGAATTCCATGCCCAGGAAGATTAAGGCAGTGTGCTAGATAACAACGGTGCTCACACAAAATATTGACACTTTGGACACAGTTTTGACATATTCACTTAGGGTGTACTCACTGTATGTGGAGTTATTCTGTACAGTAAATCTGTACTGCTATACAAGCTGCACATTGACTAGTCTAAAGTATATCCAATTTTCAGTTCTATAGTATTGTCCCTTGACAACATATAATAAAATTAACTGTGTAATGTGTATAGTGTTCAGAATGTGTAATGTGTTCAGAATATAATTGCTGAAATCTGAGGGGTGTACTCACTTTTGGGAGATACTGTATATATATATACAGTGGGGGAAAAAAGTATTTAGTCAGCCACCAATTGTGCAAGTTCTCCCACTTAAAAAGATGAGAGAGGCCTGTAATTTTCATCATAAGTATACCTCAACTATGAGAGACAAAATGAGAAAAAAAAAATATAACAAAGAGTGAAAAATTTTAAGGGGGTCTGAATACTTTCCGTACCCACTGTATTTGTATTTATTATAATTCATATTTAAGAAATTTTAAATCATTTGAAAATGGATTAAAAAATACATTTGTAAAATAAACATACTTATACTTTAGATGACAAAGTATTTTTCACAAATAAATAAATATTTAATAAAAATAGAATTAAAAAGGAAGTAAACTGTAACCAACAGAGCACTCATTATTCTGGTAAGTTTGTGTGCATTGGGAATCATATTATTTAAAAAAAAAAAACCCGAGGTAACACTGATTTTACATACAGCACACAGTGAAAATGACATGAATACGACAGTGGGCAAAAGCATAAAGCGCAGCATAATTTGAAATCACGAATTTAAATGTTTAATGTTTAAAGCATTCAATTCACAAGGACCCGAAAGTCACGTAGAGAGCACGCGATCATGCAGGTCACATGCACACTTCACAAGATCTCTCAACTGGATTCGACTAAGTTTGCAAGGTTTGTGAGATTAAATGTTCATTAATCATTCAAAGATTTGTTTAAATTATGTAAATGCGTATTTGCTGAATGCTGACGGCAAACGAGAAAGTATTAATGTTTGCCTTTCTATTATTAATAATATAAAAGCAATCGTTATAATACTTTTTGGAAACATTTTAATTCCTTTGTTTAACAGTTCTATCGGACTATTAGACAGAGTTATATCCGTATTAGACAGAACTGTTAATGACGATGGCGAACAAGAGGGAGAATCTATAGCACTATGTGCTCAGGCGCTGCCGCTCTCAGCGCCATCAAAATAAAAGTCCGGCGTGACGTCAAATGAAAAGTCCCGCCTCCAACGTATCGGCCAAACAGAAAAACTTATCTGCCGATGCCGATATTTGAAAAATGCCAAATATCGGCCGATATATCGGCCATGGCGATATATCGGTCGACCACTACCTGGGAGGCCATTGAGAATAGACGTGATCTCTATGGGCTTAACGGGCGTCTGCTGGCTTCCTTTATCACCACACTCCTCCATCTTGGAGAAAACATCACTGCCAGAGTTCGGTTTGGACAGTCGATTGATGCGATTTTTGGATGAAGGAAGATCCTCTCTGTCTGTCAGCCGCTCTATTCGGTCTCTTTCTCGTTCTGCTTTATTCTGCTATTAAACAAAAACTTCAAATTAATGGTGCAGCCCCTCTAAACATGAATATGCATGAAAAATACACTACTGTTTAAAAATTTGGAGTCAGTAAGATTTTTTTTAAAGAAATATATATTAAACTTATCAAAATATAAATAAATGCTCTTCTTTGAACTTTCTATTCACAGTAAAAACAAAAATGTATTACGGTTTCCACAAAAATATTGGAAACCGTTTTCAACATTGATAATAATGAGAAATGTTTCTGAAGGATCATGTGACACTGAAGACTGGAGTAAGGATGCTGAAAATTCAGTTTTGATCACAGGAATAAATTACATTTTACAGTATATTACAACAGAAAACAGTTATTTGAAATTGTAAAAATATTTCAGAATTTTTACTGTATTATTAATTAAATAAATGCAGCCTTGGTGAGCAGAAGAGACTTTCAAAACGTTTAAAAAGTCTTACAGACCCCAAACTTTTGAAAAACAAGTAAAAAAGAAAACCTCCTTAAGGAAATCAGACTGTACCTTTATTTTTTTGCGGTGTTTTATTTTAGAGACGTTCTTATTGGCTGGTCTGACAATCTTATCGGCTTTGATCCACTCGTCATACCTGTTAAAGAGAGACAGATTGGTCAACATTTACTAAATATATACGGCTCCAAAACTAATAAAACACTGTTTTGTTGCAATTGCGAGATGCAATGTAAAAATAACGAGATATTACATTACACAAGTCACAACTGCAATATATAAAACACTGCAAAAGAGGCAACATGACTAGGATAAAACATCAAAGCGGCAACAAGGTTTTCAGAAGGTCCTGCTTTGCTATTTTTGTCAGCAACACAGAAATGAGCTTCAGGATCAGAAATGTTCACACGACACACACTCAAATCCAAGCCTAGTTTTAAGGGCTGTTCATACTGACAGCGATTTGCAATGGCAAAGCAACCGAAATCATTCATTTTCAAAAAGTCTCCAAATGCACACCTGACTTTTTCCTATAAACCACCCAGAAACGCTCTTCACATGCTTAAAAGATGAAGATCAGAGGCTGTATCCGTCTATCACTAAGCTGAGCAGCTTCCACACGACGACACATGAAACTAGAAAGCACTTCCTCAATCTGGCAAATTATTATTTAAACACATTTCCACATGTTAAAACCAAGAAAGCTGTGGTTGGTCACTTGATGTGTTCGTCAAGCAGCAGTACAGCGCAGCAGCAGCGACGTATTTTTGTAGGCCGACACGCAAGTTAGCGCCAACCTCGTACCCTCCACAAAAACCCAATAGGACTTTTCCATTGGCTCTTGAATGATTACACATTTTGCTCATGCTAATCTTCACAAATGGACACATTTTGAAGCCTCGGCGGGAGTAAAAAGCTAAACGTAGGCTATAAACGAACTACACCATGGTCGCATCAACATCCCCTCCATTAAGCTTCAATAACTCCTTCAGTCTTTATTTAAAAACATGTTCACCCGGAAGTCTGAGTTAGAACAGTATGCACGATTATAAACATGTGTAGATGAGTTCCTGTTGAAAAAACCACCATATGCTGGTTAGGTATGTTTTGAAGCATGACTGCTGGTTTGAGCTGGTTTAAACTGGTCCTTAGCTGGTCATGAGCTGGTTTAAGCTGGTCATATGCTGGGCCTAAACTGGTCCTGAGCAGGAGCTAGTTGCTTAGGACCAGCATATGACCAGCTTAAACCAGCTCATGACCAGTTTAGGACTAGCACATGACCATCTTAAACCAGCTTAAACCAGCCGTCATGCTTCAAAACATACCTAACCAGCATATGCTGTTTTTTTCCTATGTGAAAATATCTTATGTTCACGACAGACCTGATTTCAGACATTTAACCAAAAACCCTTTTCAAAAAACCATCTGACTTCAGGACGATGGAAATGGAAGTGCTAGAAAGCTTGGTTCTGGACTTCGCCCCACACAAACACGTCATCCCTGCAGACTTTCTGACTCCAGTGCCATAATCTGATTGGGGCTACCCGTTTCTTTGTAAATGCAAACAGATAAGGCGTGAGCTCCCAGGGTCCTGCCTTACCTGACGTTCCAGCCACAGTAGTGCACCAGGTAGAGCACCTCTCCCCCCTCCAGGTCTGACTCTTTCACAGTGGCTTCGTACGTCTTCTGATTGTGGCCTCGCCCATACCTCACCTGCACCTTCATCCCAGGAGGGTAACACTCAAACTCCTCCCCTTCCTCCCACTCCTGACTGCTGACATCCCTGCAAGAAAGACAATTCAGTACTTCCTGTTTCCTGGCACTAGACTTCCCTCCCGACTGCCCTCCCCAAAAAACCCTCCCCAAAGTGAGCTCACTGAGTCTCAGCCTAGTGCTTCTGGAATCTAATTATCCTCATCTTTCCCTGTCGGATAAGTCTAGCAATCCTCCTGATAGGATGAGATTATCGGAGGAAGACATTATGGGGTCATCAGCCGGCTGTCTGAACCTCAACTTGGAATATACCAAGAACTACTGCCTGTTTAAAAGGAATGTTTCACCCAAAAATGAATCTCCTGTCATCACTTACTCGCCCTCATGTGGAACATGTCAGAAGTTTTCCAAGCTGTTCTTTTCCACATAATAAAAGCATATGGTGACCAGTGGCTGTCAAGCTCCAAAAAGTACTGAAATAAATAAAAGTGCTCCATACAAGCTGTGCATCCATGCATTTTGAAGTTGGAATAAGGGCTGTTGGAACTAAGCAATTACCATCTTCGCTCATTGGTAATCGACTTTATATAAACAGAAAAAAATCTGAATTAAAAAAATAAATACTTGGATACTACTGAAACCTATTTATATAACTTTATTATATATAAAAAATATTATAAAGGATATATTATGAAATATTAAAATTAATATAAATTATTATTATTTATAAAAATTGCTAAACGTCTCCTTTAGTGTGCCACCGAAGCAAGTCAGTCATACGGCTTTGGACCAACATGACGGTGAGTAAATGAGTTTTCTAACCTTAAAGATATTTCAAATGTGACTTTGAACTTGAGTTCAGGATGTGTGCGTGTGACAGGGAAAGGGTCAGAGCGCAGCGAGATGCACAGCGAAGCTCAGCAAGGGGGCAAATCACAATCACGTTAGAGAGCAGAGAGGAAGCCACATTAGAGAGTTAGCACATCAAACCCTACCGCTCCGCCGAGTGTAATGACTACAGTGTGGACCGTTCTACCAAGACACAACCCTGGTTAATTAGCAGCAGACAACTCAACTAGTGATGCAACGACTAGGCAGGACCCTGGTTCCACATAGTTATTTGATTCACTCTGAACAAAACAATACAGAAAACGGAGGGGAAAAGCATCATTGGAAAACCACCACTGGAGACGGAGGAGAAAAGCATCTATGAAGACCAGCTAACTCAAGAAGATTGGATTAGTTAGGCAAGTTTAATCTCAAAAGACATTCAAATCAGAGTCAATGCAACCTGATTTAATTTATGGACTACAGACCAGCAGTAGAGGAGGGAATCGTACAAAAACCATTTGTAGTTCTGGTTCCTTAAAGGAGTAGTTCACCCAAAAATGAAAATGTACTGAAAATGTCCTCCCCCTCAAATCATCCAAGATTAGGATGAGTTTGTTTCTTCATCAGATCTGGAGAAATGTAGCATTGCATCACTTGCTCTGCAGTGAATGGGTGCCGTCAAAATGAGAGTCCAAACAGCTGATAAAAACATTACAATAATCCACAAGTAATCCACAGCACTCCAGTCCATCAGTTAATGTCTAGTGAAGAGAAAAGATGCATATTTGTAAGAAACAAATCCATCAAGACGTTTTAACTTTAAACTGTTGCTTCCAGATAAAATACGAGTCCATAATCCATAATAACGCTTCCTCCAGTGAAAAAGTGTTCTGGTGTGAATCAGGAGAGAAATCTGCACAGATCAAGCAGCGTTTAAACAGCTCTAAACTAATATGTGGCTGGATTTTGATGTGAGAGACAACAGCAGATGCACTTTTTTCACTGGTTATTACGAATCATGGACTCGTATTTTAGCCGGAAGCAACCGTTTTACTTAATGCTGGATTTGTTTCAGCTTTTGTCTTCTCCAGATGTGAACTGATGGACTGGCGTGCTGTGGATTATTGTGATGTTTTTATCAGCTGTTTGGACTCTCATTCTGACGGCACCCATTCACTGCAGAGCATCCATTGCTGAGACACTGATGCAATGCTACATTTCTCCAAACCTGATGAAGAAACAAACTCATCCTCATCTTGGATGGCCTGAGGGTGAGTCAATTATCAGCTCATTTTCATTTTTGGGTGAACTGTTCCTTTAATGATTTCACAATTCTGTTAGTACTGTTGAGTTAGTTCAGAGTTCAACATGACTTAACACCTGCAAGCCATTAAACCAAATCAATTCTATAGCTTATGAGATCCATTTATGAAACAATAATGGAACTGTAAGTCTTATATAATTCTAGGGCTGCACGATAAATCGCATGCGATATTTAACGCGCATCTTATCAGTAAAGCCGGTTCTGTAATCAGCGGTAAATCTCCATCACATGCGTGCTTTCACATTGAGCAGCATTAACTACACAGAGCCGTTGTTCACTGACGAGCTGCACAAAACCACGTTCATATTTGCGCGATTTTTTGCGCTGCTCATCAGTGAACCGGCTTTCTGACAAGATGCGCATTAAACATTGCATGCGATTTATCGTGCAGCCCTATATAATTCCATTACTCTCTTAAAAATAAAAGGTTCTTCATTGACTTCTGTGAAGAGCCTTTAACATCCATTGAACCTTTCCATTCCACAAAAGGTTCTTTATAGTGTAAAAGTGTTCTTTAGATTATTAAAATGATTATGTTCACTGGAAGGTTCTTTGGGGAACCAGAAATGGAACCTTTTATTTAGGTTATTGGAACCTTTACATTTAAGAGTGTTTTTTTTTTTTTTTGGAAAACAGAAAGGCTTCTTGTTTCCCAACCCTAACCAGGCACAAATCTCCACATGATCTCAGCATCAGGGTCTGTTTACATCCACAGAACATCTCACAACAACACAGCAGAACACTAAAGGCATGATATGAGAGAGCAGAAAGTGTCAGGAAACACTTTAAACAGTGAAGGGCAGCAGTGGTAGAGCTCAACTAGTCAGCCCATCGCTTCAAAGTCACACCTGAAGAGTAAAAAACAAAACCTAAAACCCCCAAATCACAGATTTGACTAGAAAACAGTGAACACAAAAACAAGGCCAGAATAATTCAGAACCAACCTGCACTTCTACTGACTTGAGTAGAATTTTTTTTTTTTTTAAAGAAATTAATACTTTTATTCATCAAGGATGCATTCAATTGATCAAATGTGACCGTAAAGACGTTTATTTAAGTTACAAAAAAAAAGATATTTCAAATAAATGCTGTTCTTTTGAACTTTCTATTCATCAAAGAATCCTGAAAAATAAAATGCATCACAGTTTCCACAAAAACAACTGTTTTCAACATTGATAATAATCAGAAATGTTTCCCGAGCAGCAAATCAGCATATTATACTGATTTCTGAAGATCATGTGACACTGAAGACTGGAGTAATGATGCTGAAAATACAGCTTTGATCACAGAAATAAATTACATTTAAAAAAAATATTAAATCACAAAACAGTTATTTTAAATTGAAATAATATTTCACAATTTTTACTGTATTTTTGATCACATAAATGCAGCCTTGGTGAGCACAAGAGACATCTTTAAAAAAACATTGTGTACCAGGTTTTGAATCTTATCGTAAAGAAATTCAATCTGATGAAATGTAACTATGGTCTTTTTCCGTCACTGTGATATAACAGCTGTGATGTGTTATATTGTAGAAAATTCACAGGAATTGATTCAGACGATACTGATACTTAAATAAAACGATTTCAAAAGACAAATAAACTGTCCAGCGCAACGGAAAATAAGAACTGAGTTTTTTTTGGCTGATGCATTTTCAAGGTGTAACAACCTGCTGCTGAAAAAAGGGGAAGAGAGAGAGAAAGCAAGCTAAAAAGAGCGAAAGCTTCGGCCAACGTGCAGTTTCCTAAAGACCATCATGCTTGGCTTCAGCATCTCATCCAGACAACATCCACAAATAAAATCAGTGAGATATTTTCACAAGAACTAAGCTCATACAATTATGAAGTGCTTTCATGATCGTAACCGAGCCATCCCTAACAACAACTCTAATTTTCTGCATGTTTCTCACTCAGTCTTCCTCAGTTTTGTCTTCTGTAGATCTGCTTATAGCTGAATTGAACTCGTTTTGTGATTGATGAACTTCATAGTTACTGAACGGAGCTGAATAATGTCTTTAGAGCGGCTTCACAGCAGAATTTGTCTCATATTTGAAGTTTGCATCATTTATTTCTGTGAAGCTGCTTCCAAACACTCTGTATTGTTTAAAGCGATATACACTACCAGTCAAAATGTTTTGAGCATTAAGATTTTTTAAGTTTTTTAAAGAAGTCTCTTTTGCTCACCTAGCCTGCATTTATTTGATCAGAAATACAGAAAAAGCAGTTATATTGTGCTATCTATTGTAATATCTGTTAAACTGTAATTTATTCCTGTGATCCGCAGCTGTATTTTCAGCATCATTCCTCCAGTCTTCAGTGTCACATGATCTTCAGAAATCATTCTAATATGCTGCTCTGCTGCTCTAGAAACATTTATTATTACTATTATTATGTTAAAAACAGCTGAGTAGAATTTTTTGAGGTTTCTTTGATGAACAGAAAGTTCAAAAGAACAGCATTCATCTGAAACCGAAATCTTTTGTAACATTATAAATGTCTTTATCATCACTTTTGATCAATTTAAAGTATCCTTGCTAAACGAAAGCATTAATATCTATAAAAAAAAAAAATAATAATAATTTAAAAAAATTATACTGACTCCAAGCTTTGGAATGGTATAGTGTATAATGTTACAAAAGCTTTTTATTTCAGATAAATGCTGATCTTTGGATCTTTCTATTCATCAAAGAATCCTGAAAAAATTTACTCAACAGTTTTAAATATTAATGATAATAATAAATGTTTTATGAGCACCAATTCAGCATATTAGAATGATTTCTGAAGGACCGTGTGACATTGAAGACTGGAGCAATGATGCTGAAAATACAGCTTTGATCTCAGAAATAAATTACATTTGAATATATATTCACATAGAAAACACTTATTTTAAATAGTAAAAATATTTCACAGTATTACTGCTTTTTTCTGTATTTTGGATCAAATAAATGCAGGCTTTGGAAGCTGAAGAGAATTCTTTAAAAAAAAAAAACATTAAAAATCTTACTGTTCAAAAACTTTTTAATCCTTATTAAAGTTACAAAACTTATTCAATCCAGAGCAGTGAGTGATTTCCGTGTTCCGTTAAAGTGCTGTCACTTTAAGAGAACGCACTGATCCAGTGCACTGATACTGTATGTTCAGCCGGCTATGTCTGCTAGGTTACTCACCAAGACGGGCATTTTGACAATTTTTGTGTGAATTTGTCCATTCAAACACAATACTTCACAGAGAGCTTAATATTTGCACTCGTTCTGAGATGCGGGTTCACGCGCTTCAGATGAGCGCACACACAGATCTTCTCACTGCGCGCGCGAGTTCTTTAATATTTAAACTGGCAAGGCTTAAATGAGTTTAGTTTAAACACAGATCTAATCTGTGTTATCAACACGTGATGACGGCATAAATTACAGTTATTCCAGCACACAGCACTCGCATTGATTAAAGAGTGACTGGTTTGTCCAAGTATTTTTTTCTCTCTCTCATCGCTCTTGTTGTAATGTATTGGGAAGCCAGAATTTGTATCCATCAACAGAAACATGCATTAGCTGAACTCTAACAAACCATATTACAGATCCATTGTCAGATTTAAGTTGAACCACGGTCCTAGTGTATGCCGAACCGTGTGTGGAGAACCGTACGATTCGATTTTTTACAGAGAACCGTTGCACCCCTAATTAATATATATATATTTCTATTCAGTAAGATCCTAACCCTAACCTAACCCTAACCCATATATATATATGGGTCAAGGACTTAAGAAAAATGGTTTAAGCATAAAAACAATAAGTGTAATACTGCTTTTAAAAATGTAAAAAGTTTTCGGTTTAATTTAATTGCAATTTTGTTTTTGTTTTTCTGAGCAAAAAATAAATATCATACATTTCCCCCGATTTACAGAAGAGATCCACTAAAACTCATTCAGTGTAACAATCTTGTCAGGCATATTTACAACAAAAGTAAATTTATGACATTTTAAAAGACTAATTACTTTGACCCCAAATACTAATTAGTTGTCATTTTACATTTTTTAAATGTGCCACGATCCTAGGTTTTGCCCATTTGCCAGTAAGAATTTTTACTCATTTAAAACACAATAAAATGTTATATGCTCCCTTATTCTTTTATATATTTTAATATGTACACGTCAGAATAAGCATGTTGTCTGAATTTTTACATAAATATTGTGTTTCACTGAATGACTGTAACATTATTTCAACCAAATTTTTACATTTTATTCTCCAAAAATTTATTTGAAACCTTAAAAGTAGACACTTTACTTACGTTTAATGTGCTTTCTATGGGCATATAATCACTTTTGTACATTTATTTTTATGCGGACATCTTATCGACATTTGACACACACACATACAGTGGGTACGGAAAGTATTCAGACCCCTTTAAATTTTTCACTCTTTGTTATATTGCAGCCATTTGCTAAAATCATTTAAGTTCATTTTTTTTCCTCATTAATGTACACACAGCACCCCATATTGACAGAAAAACACAGAATTGTTGACATTTTTGCAGATTTATTAAAAAAGAAAAACTGAAATATCACATGGTCCTAAGTATTCAGACCCTTTGCTCAGTATTTAGTAGAAGCACCCTTTTGATCGAATACAGCCATGAGTCTTTTTGGGAAAGAGGCAACAAGTTTTTCACACCTGGATTTGGGAATCCTCTGCCATTCCTCCTTGCAGAGCATATATGTATATAAAGGTGACTTGACTCTTCATCCCTCTTTTTTCCCTCATCTCTTATTTCTGCACTTTCAGAATCTCTCCATCTTCACCTCTCAAGCACTGATCTCATTATTGTCTCCGTTTCTCTCTCTCTCCCATGATAATCTCCTTCAGAGATCCACAGAGCCATGCCCTGAAGCTCAGGAAGCACTGATGCTCAGACAGGAAGTGAGGTGGATTCAGGTTGCACCTACCCTGACAGATCTTTGTCGTCGGGTTCCTCGCATGGTTTCTCCTCCACGCTCTCAGTGACGGGACTCTGCACTGTCGGGACGCATTCTCTGGCCTCCTCTTTCGTATCGCTCTCCTCTTCATCAGCGTGGTTATCCTCCTCCTCCTCCTCCTCCTCCTCCTCATTTACACTGCTGATGTCCACTTTATCTTCACAAGGTGCCGTGGATTCTGCGTTCTCCTCCTGAGATCAAATAACACCTCATCTTCAATAATATGCTTTTGCAATTAATATTATTTGACCCTAATTAAACTCTGATTTAGATACATTTGTAAATGCATCATGGTTTTTGTTTCAGCAGCTTGTTTTGGGAAAAAAGCATGCCTTATGAATATACATGAGGTCAGAGAACCCTGCTGAGAGACTAAATAAACAGCGGAAGATAGCGGCTGTGCTTCAAATGCAATAGTAGTGTACTGTTTCCTGCACTGTATGTAGTGTATACTGCTTACAGCAGCTTTGGAACGGTGAGAAAGTACTTAGTTACACTATAAAGTTGCTAGCAAAAAGTAGCTAACAACATGGTGACAATAAGTTTTAGATAATTATCAACTGAACCTACATAATAAAAAATAAAATAAAAATACTGTTACTGATTACATTAATAAAAAACATGATCACATGACATGAACACTAACTAAATACATTTTATCCATCTATGCAGTCATTACACATGAAAATAGCTTGTGAGTGAAACACACACACACACACACACACACACTTATATATATATATATATATATATTACAAAAAGTAAATAAAAAAACTGTAAAGTTAGAGTCACTATTTTTAGTTGATTAAAAGTATAAATAGTTAAAACAAGTGTAAATTAAATATAAATATAAATGGAATTTGTATATATTTATAAAATATAACACACATTATACTGACTACAAGCTTTTAAATGGTATAGTGTATAATGTTACAAAAGCTTTTTATTTCACATAAATGCTGATCTTTGGATCTTTCTATTCATCAAAGAATCCTGAAAAAATTTACTCAACTGTTTTAAATATTAATAATAATAATAATCCTCCTCCTCCTCCTCCTCCTCCTCCTCCTCCTCCTCCTCCTCCTCCTCCTCCTCCTCCTCCTCCTCCTCCTCCTCCTCCTCCTCCTCCTCCTCCTCCTCCTCCTCCTCCTCCTCCTCCTCCTCCTCCTCCTCCTCCTCCTCCTCCTCCTCCTCATTTACACTGCTGATGTCCACTTTATCTTCACAAGGTGCCGTGGATTCTGCGTTCTCCTCCTGAGATCAAATAACACCTCATCTTCAATAATATGCTTTTGCAATTAATATTATTTGACCCTAATTAAACTCTGATTTAGATACATTTGTAAATGCATCATGGTTTTTGTTTCAGCAGCTTGTTTTGGGAAAAAAGCATGCCTTATGAATATACATGAGGTCAGAGAACCCTGCTGAGAGACTAAATAAACAGCGGAAGATAGCGGCTGTGCTTCAAATGCAATAGTAGTGTACTGTTTCCTGCACTGTATGTAGTGTATACTGCTTACAGCAGCTTTGGAACGGTGAGAAAGTACTTAGTTACACTATAAAGTTGCTAGCAAAAAGTAGCTAACAACATGGTGACAATAAGTTTTAGATAATTATCAACTGAACCTACATAATAAAAAATAAAATAAAAATACTGTTACTGATTACATTAATAAAAAACATGATCACATGACATGAACACTAACTAAATACATTTTATCCATCTATGCAGTCATTACACATGAAAATAGCTTGTGAGTGAAACACACACACACACACACACACACACTTATATATATATATATTACAAAAAGTAAATAAAAAAACTGTAAAGTTAGAGTCACTATTTTTAGTTGATTAAAAGTATAAATAGTTAAAACAAGTGTAAATTAAATATAAATATAAATGGAATTTGTATATATTTATAAAATATAACACACATTATACTGACTACAAGCTTTTAAATGGTATAGTGTATAATGTTACAAAAGCTTTTTATTTCACATAAATGCTGATCTTTGGATCTTTCTATTCATCAAAGAATCCTGAAAAAATTTACTCAACTGTTTTAAATATTAATAATAATAATAATGTTTTATGAGCAGCAAATCAGCATATTAGAATGATTTCTGAAGATCATGTGGACACTGAAGACTGGAGTAATGATGCTGAAAATACAGCTTTGATCTCAGAAAATGTACTGATACACGTTCTCCCTACTGTTTACCTTCACTTAAGACGTGATCAACGGTGTTTACGTGAATACTCGTCAAAACAGACAATTCGACATCATTTTGTGTGTATTTCTCCGTTCATGCGTTGCGAAAGAGTACTGTGAGAGGCGCTTTCTGTGTGTGTATGCTTCAGTGTCTGCGCTCAGAAAACCGGACCGAAATGAGTTCTCTCTTGCGTCGTCAGATTTATCCATATGTCTGCTCTTCTCTTACTCCCACATATTGACATTTTTTTACGTTTTATGCGACGTGCAGCAAGTGTATGTTAGCTTATGTCCCGCCGGTTCATATGTAAGCATCTAACCTCCGCAGCAGATTCCTTCTGAATGAATCTCTTCCTAAATCGTCCCTCCCTAACATTTTCATCTTGTTTTTAATCGTTGACGAAAATGTCAATAGATTTACGTAATAGTTTTTGTCATTCAAAAAGAGTTTTAGTTTGTTATCGTCTGTGAAAAAAAATGTCGTTCGAAATTTAAATTAGTCAACGAAATTAAGACCGTCGTCAACTTATCATCACTGCACCATTAAACACCTAACTGCTAACAGCTGTGTCACTAATAACTCAACCAGAATGCAAATTGAGCAATTTGGTTAAAAATTACAAGCTAAAATGAGCATGAAACTGTGAACTGCTGCTGGTGCTAAAGGCTTTGAGAGAGGCAGTGTTGTTTTAGTATTATTTATATACTATTGCCGTTTTTATTAATATTTTTAAATGGCTTTTACTTTTATACTTTCAGTTTTCATTTTAGTTTGTTACATTTAGTAATTTACTTTTGCACTTTTGTCATTTTTACTATTAGTAATGTTAGTATTTAGGTTTAATTCATTTTTTTAATTATTTAATTTTTTCCTTTTTTATATTTGTAATTAAATTTTTTGGTAATTTTATTATTTTTCGTATTATTTTATTTTTTATAATTTTTATTATTATCAGTTTTAGTTTTTATTTTATGTCTTGTTAGTAATTAGTACTTCAACTTAATCGAAATGAAAATTATATATGTTGCCTTGGCAAATAACTAAACTTTTTAGTTTTTCATCAAATATTTAGATTTAGGTTTTTTTTTGTTGTTGTAATTTTATACTTTTTAAACAGTATTTTTATTATTATAATTTTTTTTAAATATAATTTTTACTATTATCAGTTGTAGTTTTTATTTTACGTCTATTTAGTAATTAGTGCTTCAAGTTGAACTAAACAAAACAAAAGTTTGTTGCCTTGGCAAATAACTGAACTTAAGTTTTTCATCTAATGTTTATATTTTTATTATATATATTAGTAATCAATATATATATCTATATATATAGATAGATAGATAGTAATCAGTGCTTCAACTTAAACTAAACAAAAATTATATGTTTTTTCCATCTAATATTTGTATTTATATTTTTATTGTTTGTTTTATTATTTTATTTTTATTTTTATCAGTTTTTTAAGTGCTTCTTAAACTAAACAAAAATTATAAATGTTGCCTTGGCAAATAACTGAACTGAAGGTTTTCATCTAATATTTACAGCTTTAATTCAATTAATAAAACTGTTTTAATAGTAGTAAACAACAACAACGATAACTCTGGATAGAAGACGTGTGCCAGTTTTTGCAACAGCTCTGCGCTAACAGACAGAACAGATGCATTCAGTGCTTGTTCTTTGCAAGCTTTTTTACAATAACTAAGAGCAGCTTGCGGTTTACTGTCGCTGTCATTGTCTCCCTGGGAAAGGGGCTGATGAAGGATGTACGTACTTTCTGTAGGTGCATTTGACGTTGTAACCGGCTGCGGAGTTGAGCACGGGGATGCCCAGATCCTGATACACCTGCTTCCAGACAGATCCGATCTCGATCTGAAACACAGGGAGGAACACGTCGAGTCAAAGCTACTGCAGACTGTGCCAGCGTTCAGCTCTACGGGGAGGATCACAAATAAAACTCACATTGTCAAATCCTCCGAGCTTATGCACCAGCCGGTAGAGTTTAAAAAGATTCAGGTTCCTGTAGCCCAGCACCGGTCGCTTATTGATAGGAGTTCCTGAGCAGAACAGTAAAGAAGCTAGTTAGCTTAAAAGTAAAAAACCACACACACAAACAAACCCTCTCACACACACACACACACAAACAAACCCTCTCACACACACACACACACACAAACCCTCTCACACACACACACACGCACACACGCACACACACACACACACGCACACACGCACACACGTCAGCCACAGCTCTGACAGATTTAATACTGAGTCTGAGTAACAGCGAAACCTGTCATCACATGCACAAGCTGTTCATCGATCACTCTTTCATGAAGAAACGGGCCGCTCAAAGTCTAAAGGTGATATTTTGTGGTCAACGAATCAAGGTAAGCAAACGGCTGATGACAGGAGCTTGTGCTGTAAGAGTGAAAGCACCTACTGTACCCAATATCTGGGTTAACATGTTGGGTCGTTTTGTTGGGTTACTCCTATGTTTATTGGGTTATTTCTATAACGCAACCAGTTGGGTTAAAAATTTTAATTCCAACGGTCGATCGGTGCAACTGCGACAGATGATACAGCAGTAAATTAATATGTGTGCGTTATGTTGTTTTGTTTTGTTACAAAGTGTCTTTAAGCCCTGACACAGTAATATTGCTGTTTTTCCTACGAGTATGTTTACATCTCGCCTGTCGACTGATATTTTAATCCGTTATCTGCACTCTCGACTTGACTAACGACACGAGCGCTCTGAAGCCGATCAATTTTAAACCTATAAAAAAACAGTTTCCTTACATTTTCTGTTCGTCTCGACAGTTTTGGGGGAAATGTTACATATATTTCAGATAGTTGGCCAACGCGCTCGTCTTGAAGACCAGCGGAGCCTCATCCGGTTTCACATCCACTCTGAGTGAAGGTGTGTCGCCTTTTTATTCAAAACTACGTGTCCTTTCGTCTGGAAACTACAGTGTAAAATTAAAACACTTCGAAACACACAGAAATGAAACGCTTTATCTCTGGAAAGTTGCTGGTTACCAGAGCAATCATGTAGTGGTTATAGGGCGCTGTGACCTACACTGATTACACGCGCCGCTACTTCAGACATGAAGAACTGAACATGGAAGAGAGCAGAGCATTATTATCATCAATTATCAAAATACACCATTATCGGTTTCAAGGTATAGTCACATAATACCCGTTCTTGTTAAATAAAATAAATACTGTTTGTATGTACTATATAATAGGGTCTGAACAGGATGCTGGATTTTACACAATTTCTAATGTTAATAAAAGTTCCACTGTCAAAACCCCATACGTCTTAACTATACCACTTGGGAGAAAGTACACCCCGAATCGATATGGATAAATGATAATACAACTAAATAATTGGACATGCAACAATTACATTTTCAGAATGTAATTACATTTTATGCTCAAAAAGAGGCTTAAATGCAAAATAATAAGGCTAATTAAAGATCCACTTCCAAAAGCACAAACATATAATCACATTTGAAAAGTTAAAACAGTTTGCATTGTATTTACACTGTACATAACAGTTTGTGAAAATGAAAATATTAAGTACACTAAAAAATTGGTTTAAAATATTTGTTAAGTAGTTGTACTGTGTTTATGTGAAGTCATAATCTTGGTATAATGTAGTAGGCTACTGTTTTGATTTGTTTGCTATTTGGAATGATTTATGTTTAATATTTTTCATAATGTGATTTTTGGTGTCCTGTATTAAAAACGGTTTAAAATTAAATGGAACCCACAAAACCATAAAAAATGTCTCCGTTCACTTTGTTTCAATTGGTAAATAATAACAAGTGAGATTTTAATAATATTTTTTAACACTGAAAGTAGGAAATGTCATCGTCTTATGTTAATGTTTGAATTTACCTGTTCCTTTTCTTTGTTAATTTTAGATTGCTAAGGTATATTATACCCAGGGGTGTCAGGGATGGATAGACTCAACAGATAATCGCATATTGCAAGATAGAGAAGACAGTATAGGATCTTCCTGATATTTCTTCTGGTGAGAAAATCCTGCTCTGTATTTTTATGCCAAATTGTAATATTTTACATTATGTACTGACAAGCACACCAACACACACTTAGGGAAAGTTTTACTAAACAGGGCAAATTAGCACCAGAGCGCAATTCCAAAACACACACACGCACACACACACACACACGCACACACGCACACACGTCAGCCACAGCTCTGACAGATTTAATACTGAGTCTGAGTAACAGCGAAACCTGTCATCACATGCACAAGCTGTTCATCGATCACTCTTTCATGAAGAAACGGGCCGCTCAAAGTCTAAAGGTGATATTTTGTGGTCAACGAATCAAGGTAAGCAAACGGCTGATGACAGGAGCTTGTGCTGTAAGAGTGAAAGCACCTACTGTACCCAATATCTGGGTTAACATGTTGGGTCGTTTTGTTGGGTTACTCCTATGTTTATTGGGTTATTTCTATAACGCAACCAGTTGGGTTAAAAATTTTAATTCCAACGGTCGATCGGTGCAACTGCGACAGATGATACAGCAGTAAATTAATATGTGTGCGTTATGTTGTTTTGTTACAAAGTGTCTTTAAGCCCTGACACAGTAATATTGCTGTTTTTCCTACGAGTATGTTTACATCTCGCCTGTCGACTGATATTTTAATCCGTTATCTGCACTCTCGACTTGACTAACGACACGAGCGCTCTGAAGCCGATCAATTTTAAACCTATAAAAAAACAGTTTCCTTACATTTTCTGTTCGTCTCGACAGTTTTGGGGGAAATGTTACATATATTTCAGATAGTTGGCCAACGCGCTCGTCTTGAAGACCAGCGGAGCCTCATCCGGTTTCGCATCCACTCTGAGTGAAGGTGTGTCGCCTTTTTATTCAAAACTACATGTCCTTTCGTCTGGAAACTACAGTGTAAAATTAAAACACTTCGAAACACACAGAAATGAAACGCTTTATCTCTGGAAAGTTGCTGGTTACCAGAGCAATCATGTAGTGGTTATAGGGCGCTGTGACCTACACTGATTACACGCGCCGCTACTTCAGACATGAAGAACTGAACATGGAAGAGAGCAGAGCATTATTATCATCAATTATCAAAATACACCATTATCGGTTTCAAGGTATAGTCACATAATACCCGTTCTTGTTAAATAAAATAAATACTGTTTGTATGTACTATATAATAGGGTCTGAACAGGATGCTGGATTTTACATAATTTCTAACGTTAATAAAAGTTCCAGTCAAAACCCCATACGTCTTAACTATACCACTTGGGAGAAAGTACACCCCGAATCGATATGCATAATTGATAACACAACTAAATAATTGGCAACAATTACATTTTCAGAATGTAATTACATTTTATGCTCAAAAAGAGGCTTAAATGCAAAATAATAAGGCTAATTAAAGATCCACTTCCAAAAGCACAAACATATAATCACATTTGAAAAGTTAAAACAGTTTGCATTGTATTTACACTGTACATAACAGTTTGTGAAAATGAAAATATTAAGTACACTAAAAAATTGGTTTAAAATATTTGTTAAGTAGTTGTACTGTGTTTATGTGAAGTCATAATCTTGGTATAATGTAGTAGGCTACTGTTTTGATTTGTTTGCTATTTGGAATGATTTATGTTTAATATTTTTTATAATGTGATTTAATTAGAATAATATAAGGAACCCACAAAACCATAAAAAATGTCTCTGTTCACTTTGTTTCAATAGGTAAATAATAACAAGTGAGATTTTAATTATATTTTGAACACTGAAGTAGGAAATGTCGTCGTCTTATGTTAATGTCTGAATTTAACTGTTCCTTTTCTTTGTTAATTTTAGATTGCTAAGGTATATTATACCCAGGGGTGTCAGGGATGGATAGACTCAACAGATAATCGCATATTGCAAGATAGAGAAGAGAGCCTAGGATCTTCCAGATATTTCTTCTGGTGAGAAAATCCTGCTCTGTATTTTCATGCCAAATTGTAATATTTTACATGATGTACTGACAAGCACACCAACACGCACTTAGGGGCAGTTTTACTAAACGGGGCAAATTAGCACCAGAGCGCAATTCCAAAACAGCGCAGATGGGTGTGGAAATTTATGTGGCCGATTTACTAACTGCGCAAATTAAAGAACACAGATGCAACATCTAATTTACATATCGACCAATGCAATATACCACGAACAGAGCAAATAAAGAATAAATAAGCCACAGTAGGCTACGTTGAAAAGAACTGGAGGCCAAAAAATGAAGGGTTGCCAGAAGTTTTGATAGACCTGGTATTGCGAGACTCCTAGTTGAGGGTTCCAAGTCATCTTTTATTTCCTGAAGCAAATTAAAAATAACATGGCTTGGCAAACAATATGTTCGGACAATGTGTTCTTCTGGCATTCCAAATAAATTAATACATGCGGGAAAAATCTCCCTTCTACCACACGCTCTATGTTCTCTGCGGTGCCTCCTCCAGCAACAATAATTGCAGCCATTCCAAAACAGCGCAGATGGGTGTGGAAATTTATGTGGCTGATTTACTAACAATGCGCAAATTAAAGAACACAGATGTAACATCTAATTTACATATCGACCAATGCAATATACCACGAACAGCGCAAATAAAGAATAAATAAGCCACAGTAGGCTACGTTGAAAAGAACTGGAGGCCAAAAAATGAAGGGTTGCCAGAAGTTTTGATAGACCTGGTATTGCGAGACTCCTAGTTGAGGGTTCCAAGTCATCTTTTATTTCCTGAAGCAAATTAAAAATAACATGGCTTGGCAAACAATATGTTCGGACAATGTGTTCTTCTGGCATTCCAAATAAATTAATACATGTGGAAAAAATCTCCCTTCTACCACACGCTCTATGTTCTCTGCAGTGCCTCCTCCAGCAACAATAATTGCAGCCATTTCAAGCGCAAAATAGTTTAAGACATGCTTTTTTGGGGCGTCAAATAATGGCGCAAATGCCAGTAATTTGACGAGCACAAATGTTAGTAAAACATATTGCATGATTCATTTGAATACTCTCCTCCTATAAATTTTGCGTCTGAAAGGGAAACTCCTACAAATGCATATTCAGTAAGGTCAGGCGCAAAAATAACTATCCACGCCTTTTCAGCGCTAATTCTTCACTGTGCGTCTTTAGTAAAAACTGATCGTACTATTTTACCACCAAAAGACGGTTTGCGCTGGCGCCAGCTGTTAGTAAAACGGGCCCTTAAAGGGTTAATTCACCCAAAACTGAAACTTTTTTTTATCACTTATGTTATTCCACATCTCCATGAGGTTTTTTTTCTGCTGTACACAAAATATATTTTACTTTCATAGTATGAATAAATACACATTCTTCAAAATCTACTTTTGTGTTAAACAGAACACAGAAACTCATACCGGTTTGTAACAACTTGAGGGTGAGTAAATGATGACAAAAGTTTCATTTTTGGGAGAACTATCCCTTTGAGAAAAATCACACAAACAAGAGCACTGTGAAGGTGTCTTTAAATAGCTGAGTTAAGGCTGCCTGTGCCTGCTCAACATTCTCTGTATAGCAATGCAGCATTAAACAGTATGTAAAGACACATAAAAGCTACTTTCAGAAGTGCATCTGTGCCATCCTTGTAATGTGAATTTTGCGTTAGACTCTAGATCAATCTAGATCAGGTATGAGACCACAGATAACCACAGCCTGCTGATATAGAGTCTAACAGCATGATTACGAGTGTGATATATAGTTTTTACATAACTTAAATTTCATTCTAT